GAAGTCCACGTGTCTAGTTATGACAGGCGAAACGACTCGTTGCTTAGCTCCTGTTTCTCGAGTTCAGAAAGAAAACCTCGAATTTGCATAAATATCCGCAATGTCCGGTAATTATAGTATTACACAAATAATATGTCGGTCTATCAAGATTTGTTCGCTCGTTGCTGTAGAATCTTTCGTAGCAACGATCCTCTAATTGTTCCCGAGCAGCGTATCATCACGCGAAGCAGCTTATTATTAATCAATTTGCATTCAGTGGCAAACCTATTTACCATCGTACGTATACGTACGATTCTCAAAGAAGAACACTGTTATTTACCATCGTGTAGTTAACGATATCGTGCCAAGTTGTTTACCTCTGTCTCTGGAAAAAGAAACGTCACCTCCGTCCCCAATCCGTCCATTGTCGCCAGAAAAATCTGTCGACGAGCTAATTCGCTAATTCTTTCGCGAGCGATAATCCTACCTTCTGTTTTGGTACCACGTCTTCACTTGCGTGTCGGTCAGCTGCAGCTTCGCCGCCAGCTCCATCCTGTCTTGCACGCTCAGGTACTTCTGCCGCTCGAAACTCTTCTCCAGAGTTTGTAGCTGATGATCCGTGAAAGCCGTGCGCGCCTTTCGCTGTTTCTTGCTCTGCGCGGAGCTGAGCGTGCTGGACGAGGAACTCTTCGGATCGTCCTCCTTGCCACCTGAAATCCCGGGCAGTGTTCGGTTAGGTCGAATCGCGATACGTTGTTTAATTTATTAGCCACGATTCTCTATTTATTCAGTGAAAGCAGTATCTCTTTTCTTTCTCAGCTCAGAGGGAGCGGGATTATCGTTTCCTGCATTGCCGATTTCTTACCCTCTGAGGGGATCGTCTCGCTGATTTTATTCTATACATAAAGATACGTTTCTAAGTGTTTAATCGTATAAAAGTGCTTTTGTTTTGTACGAAGTTCCTTTATTTCGATTTAAAGTTAAAGCGAAAAATTCGCGACAATTGCACGAACGACAATATGGCACAACAATTTGAAAATAATAATACGCGAGATAAGACATTTCCGGTGTTCAAAATCGAGCAGAAGGAAAATTCGGAGGTTCTCCAATTGCATTAAAATGACGATCGGGGAAACTCGGTTTCTCATAATTTAACTTTCGATATTTATGCGACCATTCAGATGTCTCATTTCAAATATTTATCGTAAATAGTTTACGAATTCTTCGTTGTATAAAGCATCATTTCTTTCTCTGAGGGAAACGTCGAATCGGAGCGGAGATGCACACACGCGAAAGATCTCATAGATTATTTCCAACGCGAGTTAAACGCAGAGGCGACTAACGTTCATTGCTGCTAATTACACGTAATCGAAGATGAGCCCATAACGCGGAAGAGTTAAACGCCGAGATGATTGCTGGAGGCGAGCGACGGGAAGTTGGTCGGCTCGGAGTCCCGAAGAGAGTTGCTTTATTGGAACCTGTAGGGGAAGTAATCGATGCGGTGGTGCGCTCCGTATATAACGTAGCTGGTCGTTTTTGCTGGTCCCCTGCATGGCGATCACGGCCGCCTCTCCTCTCTATCGGCAGAGATCCTTTTGTTCTCCGTTCGAGTCCGCGCAGCCGTGAGCCGATTGGCTGGTATCGCGGATTGGACCACGCAGCCGCGTCGAGACGCCGCAAATTATCCCCCCGGTTCGCCAGCACCCACGAAGAGGGTGGGATTCCCCGAGGAAACCGATTACACCCGATACTCTCGTCGGCAAGTTGCGCTTCTCCACACGCACACACAACACACGCGCGCGCGCTCGTTTCCCAGATCAAATCTGACGCCAGCCACGCAACACCCCTCTCTCTCTCTCTCTCTCTCTCTCTTTCTCCCCACTCGATTCATCTCTCCCTCGAATCTCGTTAACGCCGCTCCTTTATTTTTCTCGTCGTCCGAGAGACGCAATTTCCCTCTCTCGATTTTTGCAGGCAAACGTGTACCAAGAGGTATTTTAACCGGCCCGAGAGAGAAACACGAAATCGAAATCACGATACTCGATGAACGCGGTGGAAATTGATTTGTTTGGAGGATTGTTGCTTTCGTTCTGGACAGGTGAAAGATTGTTGTCCGGTCGCGTTCGGATGCGAGCCTCACAGCATCCATCCTGTTAAGTCAAGTTCGAGGGAAATCCTGCAAAGGGACCGATCAACCGGCTGCACCCCCACGGGAGACACTCTGCGGGCTTCTAAAAAGTATCTAAAGGACCGTTGTCGCGGAGTTCATCGATTGGAACGGTCGTGGGTGGTGCGGAAGAAACACGACTAGGGGGATGCGATGGGAGGGAAAGAACGTGGTGAAAGGAGAAAGAGGGGAGGGGAGAAGTGCACGCGCGAGAAGGACAAGAGAAGGAGGAGAACGGGCGGACGGGTTGGAAGGAGGGTGGAATCGGGATGGTAGAGAAGTAGCGGATTGAGTTAACTCGAACGAAAGCGTGGCTCTTAGCCTCCGTTTGATCGGCCAGATTCGCTCGAACGGATCCAGGACTGCCAGGTCCGCCATGTTGGGAAAGATGGCTGACGATCCCTCAGGAGAGAAGCTCAGGAGGAACTTCATCGTAGAGTCTCGTGCAGTCTCGAGAATCGGCGAGGGAACGGGAGAGGAGTAGAGAGAGAGAGAGAGAGAGAGGGAGAGAGAGAGGAGACGGTAAAACGGAGGTTGGAAAACTAAATTTACTATGTGATACACTTAGAGCCCGGGTCTCAACCAACGCAGTTCTCTTTTTTTAGACACTTCCGGAGATGTTGGGCTGCAACTTTTCCACCCCTCCTTCCCCCTCGCTGTCCCCCGGCTGCAAGTAGTTTGAAGTAACTGGAGAACTATCGCGGAACACGCAGCTCGTCCTCTTTCGTCTCCTTCGTCACCGTAGTCGTTTCTCCCTCCTCTTACTCTCTTCGCCTGTAAAAATGCTCTTTCTACGTTTCTTCCACCGCTTACTCCCACAGCAGCCACGTACTCGGAAGCTTCGAGCGTGTGCACCCGCTCACGTCTTTACCAGCCTGTTCGTCGCTCTTTGTACGTTTCACTTTGGCCTCGAACGGCGTAATGGGAGCCGATGCTCTCGAAGGGGATTCGTAAAAACGTTCTCGGCGATGTGTACGAGGCGATTCGCGATCGAGGCGAATGAAAACGAGCAACGTCGTCGTCGGGCCGCGGACGTTGAAAGATGTCTCTCGTGGATCTTTTTATTTCCTTTCCTTCTTCTCCTCTGATCAACCGTCGGTTTAATTCGATGAAAAATGAAGAGACTCGGCCCGGGCAAGTCTTTTCCTTCTTGCCTGCAAGTAATACTCCGGGTAACTCCGGGGCACTCATTTTTCTTCGTTTCCCCGGTGACAGTATTCTTTTGACTTTTTCGCCAATTCTCTCTCTCTCTCTCTCTCGCTGTTACAAGATGTTCCGAGTTTTGATCCACTTTTTCCTCGGGAGCACCGTCTTCTTCCTCGCGACTTCTCAACAAACACCATATATCTTGTTTCGCCGTTCGCCTAGCACATGCTCTCCATAAACTTTATTGTTTTGCTCGTTGAAGTTTGAGACCGAAGTGTCAAAAAAACTCTCGAGGATTGTTTCACGATATGTATTCCTCATAGACTCTGTCCACTTCGACTTCGAAAGTCGATCGATCAGATTGTCGAAACTCTCGGAAACATATGAAGAAACACCCCGCCAGGAAGGCACTTGCTTATTTATCTCGCTTCCCTCTCGTAAAAACTTTGTCTCGCAACGCGACAAAGATTGTCCCTTGTTCGAACAATCTCGCGTTGTTTTAATTAAGCTTGCACGAGCAATCACGTCGCCACATTGACATCGAAAAAAAAACGTACGTCGGTGTACCGGATACGCGGGCGTGTACGCGCAAATGGAAATTGTCGTGCTTCGCGCGCGGAAAGAACAGAGAGGGAAAAACGAGGCCCTCGCGTGCTATACCAACACCGGCGTGCTACAATGTTACGGGGAACGTAAAAGTGAGATTAACAGGATGTTTATCGAGCAATTATTCGCTGGGGCAATTAGTGCCAGCACGGCTGCGTCCAGGTATCGTCTTCGGTTAAGTCCACGCGAAACGTTGCTTCCCCGTTTTACAACGAAACGCGACACCTGCAGGATGTACAGACGATTACGGCGGAACGAACATACTCGGACGACTGATTACGTCGTGCCCTGGGAGAGCAACCACGCGTATTTTTCACCGGCTCACCGACCGATCTGTTAAATTAATCTGCCGCGAGAATTTCCGATAATAAGTTAAATCCTGGAACTGGAGATTTTTATTCGAAACCTGATACCGATGGTTATTTGTTAGATTATATTAATTTGCGGTGATTGAAAATCGTTACCGATACGTAGGTATTTGTATCATAGAACTGCAGGTGACTAAAATGTAAAATTTCATGATATCAGATAAATTGAAACGCAAGGAATATATAGAGTGTCACGAAATGAGGTGAATCTACGTGGAGAAATAAGTTGAAGAAAAGGAATAAAATTTTTTTTCGTCAAAGCCTTCGTTTTCGAGAAGATCGAGTCTGAGAATTGACCAGGTATATTTGAATTTAGTTTAGAATTAAGTCTAGACGCGACAGAAAAGAATAATTAACTAGGTTAATTCTCGTGCGAAAATAAACAAGAAGCGAGGAATAAAATTTTTTCGTAAGATGCTTCGTCTTCGAGAAAATCGAGTTTGAAAATTTATCAGTTTAGTGTATTAAGGCAATTCAAGGTCTATTTCTTTGAAAATGACGTCTTAAACAAACAAATTTTATTCTACATTTTTCATTTATCTTTGCATATAGAATATACTTGTATTGATTATTCGCTCTTGTTCACTTACGAAATTTAAGTATACTTGAGAAATTTTCAAACTCCATTTTCTCGAAAACGAAGACTTTGACTGAAATTTTATTCTTTCTTTTCGACTTATTTTTACGCGTAAATTCGTCTCTTTTCAGCATATACTACTAGACGTTATTTAACGAAGAATCATTTAAATTTCCAAAAACGCGTCGTTGTGAAATTTCTCTGAAAAATTAAGAATTATTCATTTTGTCCACATCGATAGTTTGTGATGTTTAATTCATGTGATAAATTAAAAGACAATCGTTCAATCTTGATATATTGAAGTTGATAAAAATGTATCAAACAGATATAGAATATTTATTAAATTGTTATTGTAAAGTATTGTGAAACTTTAGTACTGAGATGAGAGGAAGTTGGAGGGCAAATCAAAAACAAAAGTGAATAAGTAGAAAATAGAAATTTATGTGAGAGTTTAAGAGACACATATTAATCATTCGATGACTAGATTTTTATACATTTAAATCTTAAGAATATTCGCAAAGTACAAGAAATTTCCAATCCGGAGGATAATTCTACACGGAAAAAATAATTCTAAAGACAGAATGTTACTCTTTTTCATTTTTAAGAAAACAGACTTTGAATACGAGCTTCGCTTGTACTTGACAAATTTTGTCTTGATAGCGCTTAAAAAAAATGTAAAAAAAAATGTAAAATTACAGTCTATCGATTAAAATTGATCAGAAATCTCAAACCGTGTTACACATGATTATTGTCAAAACGAAAACGAGAAACAGAGAGAAAAAAAAACACAAACGGAGCCGTGTGTCGAGCTTTCCCCTATCGAAAAGCGACGATATCAGAGTCTCTGCTTTTTTTTTTTTTATCGCGGACTGTTACGTGTGGTTTGCATCTACATTCCGCGAATGTTAACGGCATTGCGCCAGCTTTGCGGCTAAAAAAAAAAAAAAAAAAAAAA